CCAGTCACAAGCTGAAATAAAATGGCACCAACACTCCAGAGATCTGCCTGTGTTATCAGTTCAAGGTTATTACTTAATATGATGTAATTCCAACACAGAACTTGCCAAATGCTTCTACTGTGAAGAATGTTAAAAAAGAAAAAGGAAAAAAGAGAAGGGAAATATAACCTTGGCATCATACTTCTGCATTTGCATTATCTCTGGAGCCATGTAAAGTGGTGAACCGCACAAAGTTTCTGCAAGCCCTCTAGGTTGCAGAGATCTGCCAAAAGAGAACCACGTCTTCTAACTCTCAATTATGTATGAAATGTTGATCAGAGAAATATCTTTAGACTGTACATAACACGGTAATCTCTATCTCACACACAACACCAGATATAGCCTTGTGGAACTGGGAATGCAAAGAATTTTTCAATTTTAAACAAAAACACAGAGAAGATGATACCCTGGTACCGACACTGATAGCCATATGGACCAGTCCAGAACTGACAAAACCTAAAAAGTTGAGGGCATGTGATAATTTACCTTGCAAATCCAAAATCAGCAATCTTCAAAACTGCTTTATCATCATTTGTGGAGAGCAGAAGGTTCTATTCCAAAAGAATAAATGTTAAAAACACAAAATATTCACTGAAAAACAAACAGAATGGACAAGGTTAGCACAAACCAAAGAATATGATTTTACGTCATGAACCTATTTTCTAATGCATATCTTCCAATATAACTGATTTCGCAACCTTCTATGATGTTCTAAATCATTAATGAGTAAAGATGAATAGAAGTGTCATCTCTTGCATATAAATTCTTATCTCAGCCCAATTAACAGATAATAAGATTATATGACATTTGGCATAACCTAGAAATAACTAAATTTGAACTAAAAAGAATAAGCTGAACCTGAGGCTTCAGATCCCGGTGTATAAGATTATTGTCACGGAGAACTTGTAGACCAGCCGCTGCAAATTAAACCACCTAAGTCACTGAATGTGCAAAAACAGGCAGAGGTAGTAAAAAAGCAACAAGAGGCAGCTAGTGGCATACCTAGTTGCTGCATGAAGTGCTTTGCTGTTGCTTCAAGGACACTTCCATGGCGTGAAATGTACATAGAAAGATCACCCCCTTTACAGTATTCCAGTACAATATGTATTTTACCAGGAACCTACAAATGTAAAGACACAGAACGAAATTCAATATTCAATCAAAGAAGGGAAATTTCAGGTGCAAGAAATCTTTTCAATGGAAAATCTAGAAGCTTAACCAACATTAAATTCAAATCCTAGCAATTCCTCCGTCACTTTTCCCTTCAATTCCTCAGCAAAAACTACAACTAATTGAAATGACAAATCAATACAAATCTACGAACCTCTATAATATCATGCAACCGAATAATATTCGGATGATTGATTCTCTTGAGAATAAAAATCTCCGACATGAGACTCTCCTGCAACTTCTTGTTAAGTTTTCCGGTGACGATCTCCTTTATCGCCACCTCCGTTCCATGAACCCGGTGCATGGCATGCCAGACCACCGAGAACGAACCGGAGCCGATTTGCCGATTTAGAAGGTAGTCCCCTACAACCCGTCCCCTCCCCGTCGCTTGAGCCATTACAGTAAGTCACGAGGAACCCTACAACCCGAGACGGCACGGGAACCGCCGCGATTCAAGCCTGCGAATAACAAGTATCGGACACCGTAACAGATCTTCCGAAGATTCGTCCCAAATTTAAAAGAAACGTTGTGCTTGTGGACAGAGAAGATGATTGATGAGAGAGACGACAGAGAAGATTAATGGAAATTTCTTTGTTTAATCCCACAGTAATCGGTCTGGATTATTATTATCAGATTAATTTTAGTTGTATTTTTTAAAATACAAAATTAATTGCTTGTTGGGGGGGGGGGGGGGGAGAGAGGAAAAAGTGTGATTAATTATAACATAACATGATATAAGGCGTTCTTGATTTGATTGCTTAATTAACGGGGGAAAGCACGGAGGATTAGGCGTACACTGCAGCTACAAGCTAAAATGGACATGATGATGTCGAGTAAAAGTTACCGTGTGGGTTGTCTTATGGTACATCAGTGATCCTGCGGTGGACTGTCGTTGGTTTTTAAGGCGTGTCCATGTGGAATTGGTTAGAAATTTTTTTTTGGGGGAGGGGGGTTTGCTTTTGGCTAAAACCAACATTAGCCCCTCACCTTATAAAATTGATAGGTTTTAGTTCTTAACCTTATAATATAACACTTTTAACCCTTTATCTTACAAAATTGGTAAGTTTTAACCTCTCACCTTACAAAATTAGTAGGTTTTAACCCCTAATCTTATATTATGACACTTTTAACCTCTTATCTGTATAAATTAAAGAAAATATTCATTATTTAATATCATATTTTAATGTTATATTAGTTTTGTTAGTTGACTGTTAGTTTTGTTAGCTAAATGTTAGTTTTGTTAGCTAAATGTTAGTTTTGTTAACTGACTGTTAGTTTTGTTAGTTGACTGGTAACATCCGTTAGCATTCCATTAATAAAACTAACAAATAAAATTGAATTTAAATTTTATATTTTTTATAACGGAATGCTAATAGATGTTAACAGTCAACTAACTCAACTAATAAAACTAACAAAACGTTATAACTTGATGTTAGGTGAGAATTATTTTCTTTAATTTGTATCGGTGATATGTTAAAAATATCATAATATAAGGTAAAAGGTTAAAACTTACTAACTTTATAAAGTAAAGAGTTAAAACTTATCAATTTTATAAGATAATACATAACACTATAATAGGCTAAAACTGTCATGTTATAAAATAAAGTGTTAAAACCTATAAATTTTGTAAAGTAAAGGGCTATATATTGGTTTTTGCCTTTGCTTTTTTGGATGTTTTGAAAATGTTGCTTTTTTGTCTTAAAATGGAAATAGACAAGTGATTCCCGGAGGTAGGTAATGAAGTGTTTTTTCCACCATTGGTTGGTGGGTAATGCCGTAATGGTTCAGTTTTTAAATTTTGAATTCAAAGCATAGAATATTTAAATTGAAACCCATAATCAATTCATGTTTTTTTTAACTATAAAATAAAGGAATTATTGAGGCTTTCTTTTTCTATATTGTGACGTACTGTGTATGTTATGATGATATAGGTTTTTTTTAAAAAAAAATAAAAATATAAAATATTAATTAAAATTAAATATTTATAATAAATTTATATAATTTCAAATACGATGCTGTAAAAAAAAATGTTATATAAAGTATTACCAAATAAATCTTACAACTTGTTTGGTTTAAAGTAGAGGGATATAATTCTTAATTTAAATAACAAAAATTTGAGCGAAAAAGAAGAGGGGGTTTTCCTTTATTTTGTCCTATAATTTTTAAGATAACCAAACAAGAGGATTTGTTTGGTTTAACAATTGAAAATAGTCATAGTTGGTAGAATTATTAATAATAATTTAAATATATATCTAAGTAGAGAAAATAACTACTTAAGACCATAAATTATTAGTTCTGATATTTTAATTAATTTTAATTTTGTTGATAATAAAAATTTATTATATATTATATTATATTCAATAATATATTTAGTTTCAAAATAAAAGGGTAAAATTTTTTAACCAATTAAATTAAATATTTTTCCCTCAAATCAAATATATAAGAAGTAACATTAAATTAGTAAAATGTAAGTACATACAAATTCAAGTATTTCACTTAAATTAAAAAGTTAATAAAAAGAATTGAAGAAAACTAGAATGTCTTGCCATTGCCATGACTGATAAAAAAATAAATAAAAATCTTTAACGAATTAACATAAAAATTTATTTAAAATGTTTAAATAATTTCACTTGGGCCATGGGGAGTATTATTGCTATAACTATAATTTTTATACTTTATATCACCTCCCACCTTCAAACTCGTCTGGGTGGTGTAGTTGGTTATCACGCTAGTCTCACACACTAGAGGTCCCCGGTTCGAACCCGGGCTCAGACATCCCGTCACCCATTTTATAACTTTTTGACATAGACTCTCGAAAGTCGAAACTTCCATTTTCCGGCAAAGGTTTCCTTTCGGAAAGATCATCTCTAGGCACACGCCTTATACTCACAGAACACAAATACGAAACATCCTCGATCGGATTCTCTCCGGTTGCTTGCGCCTTTGATTTGGCCGGCCACAGGTTTTGAAGCTATTGCCAGTCAAATTCAGTTCTAGGGTTTCGCGCAGCATATAGACAGAGATATCAATGGATTGGGGAAATGTAACGGCTGAGGATCTGGTCGACGCGCTTCGCGAAGTTGATTGGTCATCGCCGCCGCGCCCTCTCTCCGAGTTCTTCTCTCGATTCACCGTCCCCAGATCCTACGCTAAATGGAACAGCCGCCTCAAATGCAATCTATACTAGTAACACTATCATAGCCCTTTGAACTTCTTTCTCTAACATCTTGTTGTTTTCTCGCTTCTTCCTTTTCTTCTTGGTGGACTGACGGTTACGATCAGTGCGTCTGATCGTGCGATTTCACTATGAACTCGTATCCGGATGTTTTTCTAATCGTCGATTGATTGCCTTTGCTGAGAATCCATGAAAGTGTAGGCTTTTAGCGAAGTGGAGTTTGCTTGTTTAGATTATGCCATATGTGCTTTCAATTTACCAAATTTCTCTTTTAATGAAGTTTGTTGCGCAGCTGAGAAACTAACATTCAATCGAAGATGCATACAGAACTGCATTTTTCTTTTCTGTGAAATGAATCAGCTAGTTTCTAATCCTGGAATAGCTTGCTAGCTTCCGATTTGATTGTATATGCTTTTAGTTTTCTTTTCTATGTAATGAATCATCAAGTTTTGCAATCCTTTATTAGCTTCTTATTTGAATTGTATGTGTTTTCTCCAGCTACAGGACCAATTACTTCATATTGATAGTTTTCATTCTTGGTAAGACAAACCTACCTAATGTTTTGTTTGAAAGAGAAAAAAAAAAAAAAAATCATTTTCCTGTGTTTGTAATTCTATTAATCATGTTATCTTGCAGGTTTGGGTTTTCTTCGAAGGCCAGTTGCCATTGTGGCTGCTATTTTGACAACTCTTAGCATTGCATTCTTGAATGACAGGTAAGCTTTGTTATGCCTTTCGTTTCCCATTAACTTTTCTCTCCAAATTCCAATTCCCTCCCCCTTTCTCTTCCATGGAAAAGTGCTAGCTAAAATTGTTACTGGTCAGCTATACTGTCTGCTGGAATTTATAAAACAAAATAATTGTTTGTCATTGGATTTAAAGAGCATTTGAATGGTAGTACAGAAAATAAAACAATGTAATTAAAACAATTAGCAGTAAATTTTATGACATGTGTTCCCAAATGAGGAAAAAGCTGAACCTTATGTTTTGTGGCTTGCATGCTGCTTTCTCATTACTGCTTGCCTACTTGCTGTTTGTCATTTGGCTCAAATTTGATAATAATACAGCAAGCCTGTTTTTCCTCTTTTTTCTGTCTTAATTTGTATTTTCATCCAGCTGAAGCATGGCCATATCTTCTTCTCCAGTTTTGCAGGTACTTTTAGTGAGAAGGTAACAAGAACAGTGAGGCAATTTTCTCCACATTTAGCTGCAAAAATGAGGCCTCCCCTTACGTAAGTTCATCTGCCTTCTTTTCTGCCTGCACGGCATCTAATTTGTATTTGTTGCAGTATTGACTTTTTAAATTATGTACATATTGCTGCCAGGCCTGTTATTCGGGGGCGTCCATCAGCTAAAAGAGCAGTTTACGTCTGTGGTCGTCCTCGTGGGGTGTTTGTCTTGATATTCTCTTCTGGTATTCAATAACTTTGAGAGGAGTAAAATAATGTGAACCATTTAGATTGTGATCCAAGACAGTATGGTATCCAACCGACTTTGTTTCTTTATTGTTTCTCATTTCTACAGTGAGTTTCATCCTTTGGTATGTATCCTGTGGTCTCTTGACTGTCCTCTGGGCCCTTGCCATTGGACTTCTCGGTATGTCATGAATTCACTTCTTATTTCATCCTTAACTCCTTCGAGTTTTACATTTTCTCATTAACTAGCTCTTACCCACTTTCTCTCTTTCTCTCAGCCACTATCCTTCATGCCAGCTTTAGGACACCAAACTTGAAGGCCCGTCTTAACACATTCCGCGAGGAATTTCGTGCAGTTTGGCGCAATTATAGTGAGCTGTAGCTCACAGCGTTTCTTGGATGTGAGCAATTCTAATTCCGGAAGCCTGCTTGATGCATTGATGTTCTTAACCTGGAGTATTCTTATATTTCATTATGGATTACCAAGTGTTCTGATTATCTAATCATCATTTATCAGTTTAGTTTCATATCTCACTGTTGATTGCAAAGCCAATTTTTTATAAAGGAAGCTTGAGTGGGATAAAATGTAGGGAGTTTCTCTCCAACCTAGAAATAGACTGAAGAATGCAGAGGCCATATATTCAGTTTTTGAGTTTGCACTACATATTCACAAGATGCTTCAAGCATTGAATTGAAGAGAAGATTTAATTGACTTGTCTTTTGCTGTCCCAGGAGATTGTTACCCATATTCTGGCACATGATTGGGTTTGCACTGGTTGGGTTGTGAAGAGTTTCATTAGTAGAATTCTGAATTTGGCAAGAGCTTTACTTTCTTCAATGCTGTCATTTTAATGTTGGTTGGGCTTAACAGATTCTGTTGCTGCAAATGGTAGTTCCGGCTAGATCGAGGTGAGTGCTGCTGTTCCTTTTAGGTAAAGCAACTTGGTGTAAATTGTCAGGACCTCTTGTCTCTGTAAATCAAACTTTATCTTTGTAGTTCCATATATTTTGGAGAATCGGAGGATTGTTTATATTCACAATATAACACCCTTCTTAACTCGCTTCCTCATCTACTGCATCATACTCTCACCGTGCATTGAATTCCTAGTTTCTCTCAAACGCAGTATATAAGAGTTTCTTGTGTGCGTTCAATTGGAAAAAACAAATCATGCCCTTAGAAGACTGTTGTGAATGATTCTAGAATGCTTATGCAAATGCTACATAATTGCTGCGTTGTGTTTAGGAATTCAGGATAGAAAACAAAAATGTGTGCTGCCTGTTTTGTAAAATATAATACCCAAATTACGGCTCAACATCATTTTCCTTCCTGGCCGAGCAAGGATACTGATGTCTCAAATCCCTACCCTTGAAGGAAAATTGGGATTCAATCTCTATTTTGTTTGCCTATATGTCTTCTGCGATGCCATTTTCTGCCGGTGGCTGCAATCCCCAGTTTCACCGTTCCGCATCGATTGTCATCTTCTATGTACCAGCCACATTATCTACCAGCCAAACCTGGTCCACTGCTACATTCGGCTCGCCCATTCATCGCCACGTGCCTGTATTTATTGCCTGAAATTTTTGGAAGTAGCTTTTTCTACTCTGGTCTTTTCTAGTAGGTGATGATGTTGGTTAGATTGGCCATTTGTGGACAGGATTGTGAATCGTCAATTCTATTGATGGAGTTGTTCTCATTTTGAACTCAATAATTCTGGGGGGAAGAAAAAAAAAAAAGGCTCTTTCCAGGATTATTCTTTAGATCTTTTAACAGGTTTAGACCAACCACAATCACCTGTCGTTGAAATCAGTCTTACAACCGATAAAAGGAAACAGATTCTGGGTTCAGCATTGAAGAATTAAACATTGAAGTATTATCATTTTCAGTTTCCTCTCCATGGGATGTCGCCTATGTACACAATAAGACCCCCAAAAAACAAAAAAAGAGTAGAATTAAGATGGTACAAAAATATCTTTAATAAATAATAATATTTACTAAATATTTTCATCATCCGAACTAGAAAAATATAAGTTTTTCTTAACTCGTGCTTTAAGATATGGTTAATAATATAATAAATATATTTTTTATTATAAATATTTTTTAAAAAATAAAAATTAGTTTTTAATTTAATAATAATCTAATTAAATTCATTACCGTGGTAAACGAAATTAAAATTAATGTTAAGTTTTATATTTTTCTAAACAAATTAAGGGGAATGTTAGAAAATTTTAAAAGATATTTATGTTTCAATAATTAATCAAAAGTTTGTGAGATACGAATATACGGATATACGAAATTGGAAGGTTCTGTACGGCGATCAAGACAAAGTAATGCGTGTGGGTTTTGAGTCTTTTAACGTATGGAAAGTAGTAAACTCCCTCCTCTTCAATTCACAGGCTGGATGAACCATGTTGCTTCGGGTCCCTTCTAAGCTCATTCCATGTGCTTCACCTTCTGCTTCCAGAAACTCTCCTCTGGCTCTCCCTGATAAATTGGAGCCGCCCCTTGCTCCATCATC